GGCACCAAATTTTTGATCTGGTGATGCTGCTATTGTTGATACGGTTCCTAGCAAGCCCACATGTGTTGAGAGTTTCTCTATCCTCCTCTGGGTTGTTTTACTGTTCATGGCATGAGACAGACAGTTGCTGTGTCATTAAAGTGGTGGAAAAGAAGGCAGCTGGAGCTGGCAAGGTCACCAAGTCTGTCCAGAAAACTCAGAGGCTAAATGACTATTATCTCCAATACCTGCCACCCCAGTCTTAATCAGTGGTGGAACAATGGTCTCAGAACTCTTCGTAAAAAGACTGATTAATGATAACAATGAATTGTATAAACTTCAGAAGGAAAGGAGACTGTTTTGTCCACCACTGGTTTTGTGTGTGGCAGTTTAAAATTACTAGTTTTTAAAATCAGTACTTTAAAAATTATTTTATTTTGTATTGGAGTATAGTTGATTTACAATGTTGTGTTAGTTTCAGGTGTACAGCAAAGTGATTCCATTACATATATTCTTTTTCAGATTCTTTTCCCATATAGGTTATTATAGAATACTGAGTTCCCTGTGCTATACAGTAGGTCCTTGTTGATTATCTATTTTATATATACTAGTGTGTATATGATAATCCCAAACTCCTAATTATCCCTCCCCCCCAACCTTTCCCCTTTGGTTTTTTAAGTCTGTGTTTCTGTTTTGTAAATAAGTTCATTAAAATCAGTACTTTTTAATCAGTTAAAGCCCTCAAGGAAATTATCCCCTGATTTGGTTTAAGGCATTGGAATTACATTAATCCCAGAGACCACAATCAACAGGAAAAACTGAGAAAATGAATACTAACTTAACTTGGGATAAGGCCTTGTCAGTTGCCCTGCTATGGATTAGTGGCTCCCAGAAGCAGGCTTACATTAAGCCCCTTTGAAATACTGTACTGTAGTTAATTCTAGGTGTCTGCCCAGGCAGGAGAATCTATAAATGCTCTGAAAGACCTAGCAGTTGCCAGTTATGCTAAAACTTTGGGCATTATACTAAACCCTGTTCTTGAGTTTGACTCCAACAGGTCTGCCTATTGAACTTAAGTAAATGGTAATTTCATTATGGCCGGAGAGGGGTCAACCTACTTAATTTTTTCCAAATAAACAGCACAGGAACTTAGTATATGTATTGGGAACTGGAACTGAACCCCAACCCCAAGTTCAATTACAAATTAGACAACAAAGTGCTAAGGAGTTTCTTCAGGTTCAAATGGTTGTAGATAAAAAAGGAAAGAGGATTTTACTGCTAAAGGTTCTAAAGAATATTCATTGCCCCTGTTCAGCAGGAAGTAGCCAGAGCAGTCTTTGTCCCTTTCCCTACAAGACTGTGGAATGGACACTGGCAATGGGGAATTGTAATAGGGAAGAACCTTTGTATTCTATTACAAGTTAATCACTAAAGGGATGTTGCCTACAAGCTTAAAGTATATGCACTTCCCATCTCTGGGAACCCTGCCTCCCAGGTAATGAGCATTAAGCTAATATGCCTTTGTTTAGCTCACAGGAAACATCTGGACCAGGCCCACCTGTGAATTAACACATCCCCTCTGGAGGCTGGCTGGAACCAGGAAATGTTTGACTTTATTCCCTCTGATTTTATTATATAAGAAACTTGAATTCTAACTCAGACAAGATGGTTCTTTGGGATATGAGTCCACCATCTTCTTGGTCTGCTGGCTTTCCTTGCCCCAACAGCTTGTCTCTTGATTTACTGGCCTGTCGTGGGGTGAGCAGCACAAGCTTGGACTTGGTAACACAAACTCTAGAGGAAGATGGTGATGGGTCTGGGGCAGGCTCTCCAGTGGAGAGGACTCCCTGCCTTCTTCAAAACACCATATGTCCTGGCTCTCCTTCTGTCATCTGGCTACTTTCAGATATGATTCCTTTCCTGCACTGTGTAAAGCATCCTTCCTGAGTAATGATTCCCCCCATCAATGGCTTCTGGGCAATTAAACACAGTTTTTCATGCAGAAGAGGTTGGGGACTCCTGATACAAACCTCTGCAAATACCTTACTCAGAAACAAGAGTTCATGTTCTCCCAGCAATAACTGTTCATTTGTTTTGCAAGGTAACAGCTGCTTCTCATAACTTCAGCAACCTTGACATACCTATAAGTTCACTAAAATCTTTTGGTCAAATGCAGGTAATTAAAGCAGAATTGATGCATACAGTATTCAGAATTTCAAAGTTAAATACACATAAATAGCCCCTAATCATAGTGTGGGGCAAACCTAACTAATGGGTACCATTTTAAGTTTTGGTTATTCTTGAATTTACACATTCATATCAATTTTAGAATCAGTTTCAACAGTTCTATGGTAAGTCCTGTTGAGATTTTAAAAATATGATTGCTGAATTCTTTACAATATTGAATCTTTTCCTTCACAACTTAAAAAATGGAGAGGACTATCTTGGTTATCTTTTATGTCCTTCAATAACATCTTATCTTCTCCAATAAGACCTTAGAATATTTGTCAGGCTTTTTTTCCTCAGTAACCTTTTAAAAAATTGCTGTTGTGGATGGTATCCACTTTCCTCCCATAGAATTTCCCAATATTGCTATTATATGTTTGTATATTGATGCTGTATTCAGTCACCAGAACCATTAAAGTCACAAGTCTTTAATTAAAAGAGATGAAGTATAAATGAAAACTTTAAAAGAGATGTGGCTACACTTGGATTTAAAATTAAGAATAAGAAATGCAATGTTGCCCGGAAAATACTGTTAGGTTTTTGTGCGATTTCCTGATAACTAATGAATTTGTTATTAAAAGGTCTAACACTGTGGTTATTAAGTCTCTTGGGTGGCCATGTGAATCAAGTCTCAGAAGATACCTGGAGTTTAAAAAGTTAGACTCTGTGGATCCTCAGGAATCTGGTCCAGAGGAAATCCAGTAGTTAAATGAGGCCTGCTTATACTTAACATTTTTAAGCTTAATTATCTGTTATAAGTAGCCATTAGTAAACATTTTCATTCCATACAATGAAGAGAAACCCAGGAGCTATTAACATTTTGAGTAATAAGTGATTAATAAGTTTGTTGAGGGACTTCCCTGGTGGCACAGTGGTTAAGAATCTGCCTGCCAAGCAAAGGAAACCATAAACAAGACCAAAAGACAACCCTCAGAATGGGAGAAAATATTTGCAAATGAAGCAACTGACAAAGGATTAATCTCCAAAATTTATAAGCAGCTCATGCAGCTCAATAATAAAAAAACAAACAACCCAATCCAAAAATGGGCAGAAGACCTAAATAGACATTTCTCCAAAGAAGATATACAGACTGACAACAAACACATGAAAGAATGCTCAACATCACTAATCATTAGTGAAATGCAAATCAAAAGTACAATGAGATATCATCTCACACCAGTCAGAATGGCCATCACCAAAAAATCTAGAAACAATAAATGCTGGAGAGGGTGTGGAGAAAAGGGAACCCTCTTGCACTGTTGGTGGGAATGTAAATTGATACAGCCACTGTGGAGAACAATATGGAGGTTCCTTAAAAAACTACAAATAGAACTACCATATGACCCAGCAATCCCACTACTGGGCATATACCCTGAGAAAACCATAATTCAAAAAGAGTCATGTACCAAAATGTTCATTGCAGCTCTATTTACAATAGCCCCGAGATGGAAACAACCTAAGTGTCCATCATCGGATGAATGGATAAAGAAGATGTGGCACATATATACAATGGAATATTACTCAGCCATAAAAAGAAACGAAATTGAGCTATTTGTAATGAGGTGGATAGACCTAGAGTCCGTCATACAGAGTGAAGTTAAGTCAGAAAGAGAGAGACAAATACTGTATGCTAACACATATATATGGAATTTAAGAAAAAAAAAATGTCATGAAGAACCTAGGGGTAAAACAGGAATAAAGACACAGACCTACTAGAGAATGGACTTGAGGATATGGGGAGGGGTAAGGGTAAGCTGTGACAAAGCGAGAGAGAAGCATGGACATATATACACTACCAAACGTAAGGTAGATAGCTAGTGGGAAGCAGCCGCATAGCACAGGGAGATCAGCTCGGTGCTTTGTGACCGCCTGGAGGGGTGGGATAGGGAGGGTGGGAGGGAGGGAGACGCAAGCGGGAAGAGATATGGGAACATATGTATATATATATAACTGATTCATTTTTTTGTAAAGCAAAAACTAACACACCATTGTAAAGCAATTATACTCCAATAAAGATGTTAAAAAAAAAAAAAAAAAAGAATCTGCCTGCCAGTGTGGGAGACACGGGTTCAAGCCCTGGTCTGGGAAGATCCCACATGCCGCAGAGCAACTAAGCCCGTGTACCGCAATTACTGAGCCTGCACTCTAGAGCCCGCATGCCAAACTACTGAAGCCTGCGCGCCTAGAGCCCATTCTCCGCAACAAGAGAAGCCACAGCAATGAGAAGCCCGCTCACCACAACAAAGAGTAGCCCCCGCCTGCTGCAACCAGAGAAAGCCCGTGTGCCACAATGGAGACTCAACTCAGACAAAAATAAATAAATTAAAAAAAAAAAAAAGTTTGTTGAATGTACATCCAGGCCATTTCAAATCCCTTTTGGAAGGCATCAAGGAAAAATAATTACAGGACTTCCCCAGCGGTCCAGTGGTTAAGACTCTGAGCTTCCACTGCAGGGGGCAGACTGGATCCCTGGTCAGGGAACTAAGATCCCGCATGCTGCAGGGCATGGCTGAAAAAAAAGGAAAAATAATTACATCTGTCTTATAGTTGAGTGATCTAACTAAAAAATAACTATACCTCCCAACAGAAGTGTAAATAAGACCCATAATTTATGATCTTACTGTGTCAGGCCTTTAACTATGACATAAACATTTCTATAATCTAGATAAAAATCTCAATTCCTTTTTCTTTTTAGGACTCAGGAAATAGTTTCTTTTACCTAAATAGGTAACACCATAGTCCCCATATGATTTGACACTGTTCCACAACCACCCTTTCACAAAGACAGACAAGTCTTTAGTAAAAGAAGCTAAATTTATAAACATTTAAGATAACTTGAGAAATACATAGTAAAAAAAGGACAAAGCCCACAAATTACAAAGATTTTACTAATATGCAAACTGCCGGTCCATCTAAATTTGGCATATTCAATCTACTTAACCGGTTTGCTTAATGTGGTAATTTTTTAAATGAAATTCAGTTGGAGGATGAATGATAAATTTATGCCCTTGACAAAGATAACCAGTGTGGTATGTTGTTACTAAGAAAACATAATTCCTGGTTATATTATTGTTCTGGCTCATCAGAATTCACAGGACATGTGGGAGTCTGTCATGTCCAGGTCAGGCAAACGTAATAGAAGGTGCCCCAGGATGACACAAGTCTTCATCAAACAAATCTTCTGGTAGCTCCTCTTCATCTCCATCAGGGAAATATGTTGGGAATGGTAGATTTTTACAGAAATCCTTATATGCAGGCAATTTAGAATCTTTGATCTGGGGGGAGGAAGCAAAGGTCTTATTAATAAGTGATACCAATTAAGTTATTTAAAGATAGTCTGGTTTACTTATTCATAATCAAAGAACAGCTCTTCCTTTTTCTTTGTTTTTTGTTCTTTAATTTTCTAATGTGAATAACACAGCTGTTATACACTGAGTTCCTTTTACTTTATATATGTATTTTTATTCCAATAAACTAATTCAATGACAGAAATATAACCTTCCTCAAGTTAATCAGCTATCTCATGAGATTAAAATTACTCTGATTATATTTTACCCATAAACAGAACTGCCCAACAGAATAAATTATATTCTACAATTACTACATAAATATCAATTATACCCAAATTGATTTTTCAAATATAAATAACTGATATAAACTATATACCTAAAAGGTATTACTATCTACATCTCAATTATTAATTTTATTATCTACTTACATTTTTATTATTCTATATTCTACCATAAATTTTTTGAGCTTGGGTTAAAAAATATAAAATTTACCTAGTACTTTTGTTAGCCTTAATTCTAAGAGCACATAACCCAAAATATCAAGTTTTGTTAAGGAAATTAGCTTGTATTTAACAAGTAGTGTTCTCTTTGAGAAGCTAAGGACAGAATAGTATTTAACAGAAACAATAATAAACCCAGAAGTCTTGAAAACAGCTGTATTAGCTCTTTATATTCTAAAAATATTCTAATTACATTTGTAAATTCATTAACTGAGGAACAGTACAGATATTGATATGATCTAAAATGTTGGGTTATATTTTTGGAAAACACTGGGATCTTTAAAGCTTCTGACTCATTCTACAGCCTTCATTCAGAGAGAAGTAAAAAAACAATTACACGTAATTACACAAACAGATTAAAATAAGGCATACTCATTTTGGCAATAAGAAATGAATAATATGGTTGAAGTAAGTACACAGCTGCTAGGAATAGCTAAGTACAGAAAAACACCTATATTAATTTTTCTCATTAAAATTGTTCCAAGAAATTATCAATAAGTTGCCCAGAAGAAAATATACTTGTTTAACCTTTTTTTCCAATCCACTAATCTTGAGGTGAACTTTAACTTGGGGAAAAAAAGTCAAATTCTTACCAATTCAATTGTCTCAGAATTTGTAACTGAAAATAAAACCCAAGCAGATAAACAACAAAACGAACAACAAAACTTTCTGTGCAAATTTGATAACTGTGAAAATTTAGTTATAAATTGCCTAAATGGTGAATTCTCAGGTACTTTCAAATTTTTATAGATCTATTATACCCAAGAAACAGCAAGGGGATTCAGTTATACATATATACATATTCTTTTACATATTCTTTCCCATTATAGGTTATCAGAAGATATTGAGTATAGTTCCCTTTGCTATACAGTAGATCTTTGCTGGTTATCTGTTTTATATATAGTACTTTGTATCTGCTAGTCCCAAACTCCTAATTTATCCCTCCGTCACCCCTTTCCCCTTTGGTAACCATAAGTTTGTTTTCTATGTTTGTGAGTCTATTTCTGTTTTGTAAATAAGTTCATTTGTATCATTTTTTAGATTCCACATATAAGCGATATCATATAATATCTTTTATCTGGCTTTCTTCACTTAATATGATAATCTCTAGTCCATCCATGTTGCTGCAAATGGCATTATTTCCTTTTTTATGGCTGAGTAGTATTTCATTGTATAAATGTACCATGGCTTCTTTATCCATTCCTCTGTCGATGGACATTTAGGTTGTTTCCATCTCTTGGCTACTGTAAATAGGGCTGCGATGAACATTGGGGTGCATGTATCTTTTTAAATTATTGTTTCCTCTAGATATATACCCAGGAGTGGGATCGCTGGACCATATGGTAACTCTGCTTTTAGTTTTAAAAAGTCTCCATACTGTTTTCCATAGTAGCTGCACCAATTCACATTCCCACCAACAGTGTAGGAGGGTTCCCTTTTCTCCACACCTACTCCAGCACTTAGTATTGGTAGACATTTTGATGATGGCCATTCTGACTGGTGTGAGGTGATACCTCATTATAGTTTTTTTTGATTTGCATTTCCCTACTAATTAGCGACGCTGGGCATTATTTTTCATATGCCTTTTGGCCACATGTATGTCTTCTTCTGAGAAATGTCTACTTAGACATTAAATGTCTTTTGCCCGTTTTTTGATTTGGTTGTTTGGTTTTTTTTGATATTGAGCTGTATGAGCTGTTTGTACATTTGGAAATTAATCTCTTGTTGGTAGCATCGTTTTGCAAATATTTTCTCCCATCCTGCAGGTTGTCTTTCCATTTTATGGTTTCCTTTTCTGTGCAAACGCATTTAAGTTTAATTAGATCCCATTTGTTTATTTTTGTTTTTATTTCCATTACTCTAGGAGATGGATCAAAAAAGATATTGCTGCAATTTATGTCAAAGAGTGTTCTGCCTGTTTATTCCTCTAGGAGTTTTATAGTATCTGGTCTTATATTTAGGTCTTTAATCCAGTTTGAATCTATTTTTGTATTTGGTGCTAGAGAATGTTTTAACCTTGTACACAGAGCTGTCCAGTTTTACCAGCATTACATATTGAAAAGACTGCCTTTTCTCTATTGTATATTCTTGCCTCCTTTGATGTAGACTGACCATATGTGCACAGCTTTATTTTTGGGATTTCTATCTAGTTCCATTGATCTATATGTCTGTTTTTGTGCCAGTACCATACTGTTTTGCTTACTGTAGCTCTGTAGTCAGGGAGCCTGATTCCTCTAGCTCCATTCTTCCTTCTTATGATTGCTTTGGCTGTTTGGGGTCCTTTGTGTTTCCATACAAATTTTAAAATTTCTTGTTCTACTTCTGTGAAAAATGCCACTGGAAATTTGATAGGAAATGCATTGAATCTATAGATTGCCTTGGATAGTATGGTCATTTTAACAATATAGATTCTTCCAATCCAAGAACATCATATATCTTTCCGTTTGTGTCTTCTTTAATTTCCTTCATCAGCGTCTCATAATGTTCAGAGTACAGGTTTTTTTGCCTCCTTAGGTAGGTTTGTTCCTAAGTATTTTATTGTTTTTGATGTGACTGTAAATGGGATTGTTTCCTTTACTTTCTGATTTTTGTTGTTAGTGTATAGAAGTGCAACAGACTTCTATGTATTAATTTGTACCCTGCAACTTTACAGAATTCATCGATGAGCTCTAGTAGTTTTCTGATAGCATCTTCAGGATTTTCTATGTATAGTATCACGTCATCTGCAAAAGTGACAATTTAATTACTTCTTTTCCAATCTGGATTCCTTTTATTTCTTTTTCTTCTCTGATTGCTGTGGCTAGGAATTACAAAACTATGTTGAATAAAAGTGGCAAAAGTGGGCAATTGTCTTGTGCCTGATCTTAGAGGAAATGCTTTCAACTTTTTGCTGTTGATTATGATGTTAGCTGTGGGCTCATCATATATGGCCTTTATTATACTGAGGTAGGTTGCCTCTATGCCCACTTTCTGGAGTTTTTTTTTTTTATCATAAATGGATGTTGGATTTTATCAAAAGCTTTTTCTGCATCTATTGAGATGACCATATAATTTTATTCAACTTGTTAATGTGGTGTATCACACTAATTGATTTGCAGATACTGAAAATTCATTATACCCCTGTGATAAATCCCACTTGATCATGGTGTATGATCCTTTTAATGTCTTGTTGGATTCGGTTGGCTAGATTTTCTTTTTTATTTGGTTTGATTTTGTTGAGGATTTTTGCATCTATGATCATCAATGATATTGGCCTGTACTTTTCTTTTTTTGTGATATCTTTGGTTTTGGTATCAAGGTGATGGTGGCCTCATAGAATGAGTTCAGAAGTGTTCCTTCCTCTGCAATTTTTTGAAATCATTTCAGAAGGATAGGTGTTAACTCTTCTCTAAATGTTTGGTAGAATTTGCCTAAAGCCATCTGGTCCTGGACTTTTGTTTGTTGGGCGTTTTAAAATTACTGATTCAATTCCAGTACTGGTAACTCATCTGTTCATATTTTCTATTTCTTCCTGGTTCAGTCTTGAGAGATCGCACCTTTTTAAGAATTTGTCCATTTCTTCAGGGTTGTCCATTTTATGGCTACATAGTTGCTCGTAGCAGCTTCTTATGATCCTTTGTACTTCTGTGGTATTGGCTGTAACTTCTGCTTTTTCGTTTCTGATTTTACTGATTTGGGCCCTCCTTTTTCTCCATAATGAGCCTGGCTAAAGGTTTACCAATTTTGTTTATCTTTTCAAAGAATCAGCTTTTATTTCATTGATCTTTTCTATTGATTTTTTTAAAGTGTCTATTTCATTTATTTCTGCTCTGATCTTCATGATTTCTTTCTTTCTGCTAACTTTAGGTTTCAACTGTTCTTTCTCTAGTTGCTTTAGGTGTAAGGTTATGTTGTTTATTTGATATTTTTCTTGTTTCCTGAGGTAAGATTGTACTGCTATAGACTTCCCTCTTAGAACTGCTTTTGCTGTGTCCAATAGGTTTTGGATCATTGTGTTTTTGTTTTCATGATTTTCTAAGTATTTTTTGATTTACTCTTTGATTTTTTCAGTGATCCATTGGTTGTTTAGTGGCATACTGTTTAACTTCCACGTGTTTGTGTTTTTTGCAGTTTTTTTTCTTGTGGCTGTTTTCTTTTCTTTCTTTTTCTTGGGCTGCATCGGGTGGCTTGTGGGATATTAGTTCCCTGACAAGGGATTAAACATGCACCCTTGGCAGTGAAAGCACGGAGTCCTAACCACTGGACCACCAGGGAATTCCCTGGTTGTCTTCTAAACTCACAGAGTTGTGGTCTGAAAAGATGCTTGATATAATTTCAATTTTCTTAAATTTACTACAGCTTGCTTTGTAGCCCAACATATGATCAATCCTGGAGAATGTTCCATGTGCACTTGAAATGTGTATTCTGCTTTCAGATGGAAGGTTCTATACATATCAATTGAGCCCATCTGGTCTAATGTGTCATTTAAGGCTTGTGTTTCCCTTA